TGGTATCATTATCCATTTGTGTGAAATACTTTGTTATAGAAATTTTGTTCTTAACTTAAACGTTATTTATGAGCACTTAAAATTGGTTGACATTATGAAATAGTAGTTTTCACAGTTCAAATTAATTTTTTAAACTCTAGAGAGGAACTTAATCCTGGAACTACTAGCAGATTTTGAATATTTAACCTTTTTTTTTATGCAAAATGCATAATGTCACTTTAGTTTTTTTTTTTATACATAAATAATTAGTGCTAAAGTAACATTTTTGATTTCTCCACTTAACAATTAAATTATTAACTGTTTCCACTTAAATTTTAAAACCACATTTTATTCATACTCAACTTCTTGAGCTTCATAATAACTGGCTTAGTTTTTTTTAAAAGTTATTCAGGATGGTCAAGTATAGGAGTGACCATTTTTATGTCATTTCAAGTAAATACATTTTTGTGTGTGTGTGTGTTTTATTCTACTTTTTTACACTAAATATTTCTATTGTTTTTACTGTAATGAAGTTGTAATGTACTGTCAAAAGTGAGGGTTTTTTTCCTGTTCTGATTTTGTACTTTTGTACAGGAAATGTTGGTGTTTAGGACTGGTAAACCCAATAATGTGAAATTTATCGCAGAGATCTGACACATAAAAAAAACAAGGTGTGATAGATAGACTATTGTAACCAAGTTTCATAATGATGTGAATATTTCGAGAAGTTTGACCTTTGAACATCCTTCTTATTTAAAAACAGTATGTAGAAATAAAACTTAAAAATAAAAGGAGAGTATCATTAATACTAGTGCTATGAATAAATTTTTGTTCTGTATACATTTGATCTGTAGATAGATGAACATAGAAAATTAAGAACAACCGGAATGGAAATATACTTGGATGTATGCCTGTTTTTAGGCATGGAGCATAAAGTTGTAAGGAACAAAAATTTGTAATAAAGATTTGCTTAAAACAACTGTTTTACTGGGACTGTTGGTAACAAGTTAACAAAAACATCAGTAAAACACTTTGTAATAGTAAAGTTCACATATTAGGGATGTAAAGTTTACAATTGTTGTTACAATAATAGCAATCTGTGTCAAAGTAATTAACTTTATTCGTGTCAGTAGTATTAGAATAGCTCACAATTATTATGAAGTATGTTGAATGATTTGTAATTTAGATCTGCAGTACCAGGAAAAAACTAAATATTGTCTGCTGTTTATGAATTAATATGTGAATATTCTATTAATAAGATCAAAATATTTTACAGCTGTACATATAGACCATATGCTGGATCGAAATACATGCCTAGAAAATGTGTTTAATTTCAACAAAAGGGGGCACTACTTAGTTTTTGCAGCCTATATCTTCACAGGTCATGTTTAAACTTCTCTGAAAAAAGTCTGCAGTTTTTTTGTCATGACACTTTCAAAGTTAAATGGCTGTTGATTGATTTTGTTACATACCCGCTAAAGACTTTTTGGTTATAATATCAGTATTTGCCTAATCTAGGCACGAGATGGCTCAAAGTAGTTGAAATGTATTGGGGGAAACTATTGGAATGATAAATGAAAGCATAACGCCACCTATGCATGATTTTTAGGGAGAAATGTTGAAGAATGCGCTTAGAAATATGTCCAATTGCATTTCATGTAGACAAAAGTAAAAATATTAATTGCTATAGTAAACAGTAAGTTTTTTTTTGTTGTTGTTGATTGATAAATTAGGGTAATACAGTTATATTTTCCTCCTAAGTTTTAGCAACATAGAAATATAGCTGTATACCGCACAATATCGGTTAACATAGTCATTTTGGTTTATAATATATACCTGACAGGTAAAAATTCCAGTCTATAAACAATTGTACGTGTAATTCAAAGATTAAAAGTTTTTTCAATAGTTTCCCTGATATATTTGAATTATTTTTAACCACCTTGTGTTGATGAAAATATAGCTAAAAAAAAATCTTTAACGGATATACAACGAAATTAGTCAACAGTCGGTGAGGTTATTAGCAACATAAATCTGCACAGAACAAGTAGTGCCCCCTATTGTTAGAACGAAACGACATAATAATGGGTCTTACAATACACCCTAATACCCCTATAGAACCATTGACAGTTAAAATTACTTTACAAGACTTACTAATAATTTTCATCTGCTATGATAAAGTAATTATGGATTTGTGTGAGAATATTAAATAATTAACAAAACCACCCGCCCAGCTCTGTATCGTAACACCCTCGAATTATAGAAGTCCCAAGTTTAGTGTATTTATGAGTTGTTGTTTTTAAAAAGGCTTAATCTGTTCGTATATTGTAAAAATTCCAGTTTCATGGTACACATGGCCTGGTAGTTAAGACACTGGACTTCGCAATCTGTTGGTCACAAGTTTGAACCCCACCATCGAACATGCTAGCCCTTTCAACTGTGGGGGCGTTATAACGTGACGGTCAATCCCACTATTCGTTGGTAAAAGAGTTGGCGGTGGGTGGTGATGGCTAGCTGCCTTCCCTCTAGTCTTACACTGCTAAATTAGGGACGACTCGCGCAGATAGCCCTCGTGTAGCTTTTCTCGAAATTCAAAACAAACAAACCTTTCCTATTTTTAAGCGTTTTAAGACTTTATGCTCATCAAACATTAGACAAAAGTGATAAGAATTTAGGTTACTTGTAAATAACTTAAGTGGTTGCCAAGGTGAAACAGAAGGTAATTAGTACGTGGTAATTTACCATAATATATACACCTGGAAAAAAGTTAAGCACCCCCAAATATTTTTCAGGATTGCTTATTGAAAATAAGGTTTAATTTTCATGATGTTGAG